CGGTAGCACTGAGTCAGTCGCGCCTCTGTATGGGCAGCGCTGAAAACGAGTTGAGCATCGAAGGGAGCCCCGTGCAGCGGAGACGGACCCCAGTATTGGGCTAAGCCTGGTACCGACATCGGTCACCCCTCCAGGGGCACCAGCTCCCGTCCAGCTGGGTCAGCCTCGCTGGCACGGCTGTTGGATGTGAAGTGCCCCAAAACTTACCCTGGGGAAGGGAGAGTTTTTGCATAACGCCCTTCAAACCAGTCTCTCCTGTGCCTCCTGTGAGGATGCCGTGCTGTTTTTGTATGAAATTTTCCCCAGTGCTCTCGGCTAAAATACTCATCCATATGAGTAAGCTGAAAAATGTCTGGCTCCTCTGCCCAAAAGCTGGCTGTATTCCAGGGATGCTGTGTGTCACCTTTGGCATAGTATCAGATCAAGACATGGGAAGAAGTACATGTATACCTTTTGGACCTATAAGGCATAGCTAGCCTATGTATTTGTAATTCTAAATGTACTGGGTGGATCTTTCATAATAAGACAGGATTTTATATTGAAGTCGTAATTAATTTCTCCTGTCTCTAGCCAGCCTGCAGCCTGGGCATCAAGCGATGCTCCCTCCTCTCAGCGTGCCTTTGCTGGAAGAAAGTGTGGGGTGGAAATGGGAGGGAGAGAAAAGTTTGTTTGTGAACGTGAACGAGCAGCAGGGGTAGCGTGTCTCGTGTTAACCAGCCTCTCCCCAAACTGGACGCTCCTGTGGTGAAGGAGCCGACTGGATGTCTCCTGTGGAGATGCCAGCTGTTGAGATGAAGTGCTTCTCCCTGATTTCAAGTGGGTTTCTCTGCCCTGACAGGTGGATCCAGGGCCTTTGCTGTCTTTGGGAGGGGAGAGTGGGCTCACTCCTGTGGGCGCTTGCACCGAGACATCAGGAAAGGCAGTCGCCAAGGAGAGCAGTCAGCATGCCTTAATGCGAGGAGTTGGTTGCCACCTTAAGGCCCTTCACCTTGGACCAACTAGTCTGGTTCTTTTTCTTTCGTGCCTCTGAGGCCTCCCCGGGGCAGCAGAGCTCCTGCTGACTCAGTAAAGCAACAAAAGGGCTCTGTAATTGCTGTAGTGAGTAGGGCTCTGCTTTGTGGATGTCTCTTGTTGTGCCTGCCTCTTTTCCTCTGCATGTTAGGGTATGTGTACCAAATAAAAAAAATCTTGGCTATCCTGTAGTAGATTTCTACAGATACTGACTTGACAGCTTCTTTCATTTCTGAGTGTTTAAAAACGTGGGTTTCAGTAGGTACTGTCAAGTCTAATCTACAGTTTCCAGCTGCTCTGGGTTAGTCTGCTGTGACTGCCTTTCAGTGTTGATAGAATAGATGATGTGCGATATACTTTAAGTATAAGGTGAGGATGTAAAAGTGTTTCTACCTGAGGTTTTTTTTAATTAGTTTGTGAACACAAGGCTTTTTAATCAGTCTGTGAATCCCTTTACGTCAATGACTGCTTCATCTATGTTTTAGGTACCTGTGGAGATGTGGATTTGATTTTTTTTGGTTTCTTTGTATACTGTGCAGTCGAGTGAAATGGGACTTGCACTCCATTCATCTTGTGCTACAAGAATGGCTTGTAATTAGTGCAGTGTGTCTTGCTGGTTGGGTCCCAGTGAATGATCTATAAAACCTGGTACAACTTACACTAAGCAGGCTATCTTGCGTAGCATCTAAGTGAGTGTGTTTAGCACCCTGAAGTATTTGCGTGAAGTGCTTTAGTATTTGCTGACGTTACTGTTTCTCAGATTGCCTGGGAGCAAAGCGGTGGGCATCCCTGGAGAGCAGCAAGAGATCACAGTCTTGCAGGGTGAGTCATGTCCAGAGTATGTCTGCACCCCCTTTCCTGAGAAATGCCTGTCCGTATGCCACGTGTCAGTAGATGGCTACCTTTTTTTCTCACCTCTCTTTCCTAATGTTGATCCGTAGCTCCAGTCCTGTACTGGAGGTCTGGCAGTTGGCCAGCCAAAGGCAGCTCCTGCCTTCCCCAATGTATAATTTGGGGCGGGCTGGCTGTCTCGCAGTAAATCAGTGTTGCTTGTATTGATCCAGCCGTCAGGTGCTACTGGGCAGCCTTTCTCCCATCCTCACATCTCATGGAACCTGTGGGCAGCAGAAGTGAGGTATTTCCTGAGGTGAGGGACCTCTACATTTCCTAAGCTTGGATCTGGGTTGATCGTCCCCCTGGTTGGTAAGCGCTTGCAAGTTTTTCCTGCTTCCTCCGTTTTAAGGGGTGAAGCAGACAGAGAGCCCTCCCAGAGACGTTGAGGATGTGAACTGGCCTGGAGGTGGGAATGGCGTGGCCTGAGGCTGTGTGTGAGGCACAAGATAGTACATTTTCATTCTGGGGTCTCTTCTTTCTGTGAGTCCTGAACACCAAATGCCTGTTGAATGAAGGTGACCTGACAAAACTGGCATGTGTTGAAACTTTCTAGCTGGAGCTGCCTGAATTCAGTATCAAATACTTGCTTCATTCAATATGTACAGGTTTTTTTGATGCAGGGAGCCCAACTGGTTGTAGAAGTCAGATTTAGTTATGACTCGGTACTGCAGTGTTCAGCTCACCTCAGCATCTTCTGCACCTGTGCAGGCTGGCGACTTGAAGGTGGCAGATTTCTGGGTCTTGTCCCACGCAGCTACCTGTAAGTGATGAGGCCATGGTAATCTGTATTCCCTTCGATCTGAGAGCTGGACTGTTTGAGTTTTGAAAATGGTTAATTGTTACTATATTAATTTTTCAACTCAAAATTCATGCAGGGTGGTCTGTATCATCAGAGGCTTTTTTGTTAAATGTTCCTCAGATGCCCTGATAATAAGTGAAGCCGTTTGACTTTCTAGAGAGCCCTTTGGCATATGGGCTGACAAAATAACTTGGTTTTTAGAAGAGCAGGCACTTGAAGTTCAAGTGCCCTGATTTTCCTCCATCTGCTTTTTTTTTTTTTTTATTAAGACTAGTTTTTGTTAGGCCTGCCACAAAACTGCAGATGCTGGGCATTCTTGTGATAGCTGCCGTGTGAATATTTTGCTTTGTTCGTGTTTTGGGTGCTCCCTGTGAATTAGGCTGCCTTTTGTTTTCCCTTGGCAGTTGGTATGCTAAAGCTCTCGTTAGCCTATATGGAGCTCCTTATTTTAATGAGACCAACTTCTCTACTGGCTGTTCTGCTGTTGTTTTATTTATTTTTTTTAATCAATGAAGCCTCTTATTGCGACTCTCTTGGGACAATAGCTTTCTTATGCTAAAGGAAAATGTATTCCCCTGGACAAAGCTGTGGGAAGCATAACATACTCATTAGTAATGCTTGGTATATACACTGCCCTTCCCTTGTTCATTCATAGAAGGAAAAATGAGATCAAGGAGAGGATGTCTCTTTTCTTTTTTTCTTTCTTTTTTTTTCTTCCCTAGAAATAAAAGGAGGGGAAAAGATATCTCTTGAAGTGTGTCTGATAAAGTCTGAGACGTGCTAGCAGCGCTCCTGATACAAGGAAGTGGCTTCAGCTGAACAACAAGCTGGTTGCTTGATTGCCTGTTGTAGAGGTAAGTTTGAAATGCCTGACATGGTCCTGTGTAGCATATGAAGCTCAAGGCAGTGAGAGGGAAAATTGAAGTGGAAACTGCACTGTTCTGCTTTCTGCATAAGAGGAAGGGGGAGAATTTTTACAAGCATTAGAACTTCTGTGATGGGCTATTCATCCTTTTGTGATAGGAAGGCCAGGTTGTGCAACAGATGGAGGAGGAGGGAAGAATGTCATCCACGTATAAAGCTTAAACATCTGGGACAGGAGAGGGAAGTTATTTATTTTTAATGGAAAACAGATGAGTTAGAACTCTGACGATTTCTGCAATCTGGTTTCCAGCTTAATCAGTAAGATGAAGTGTTATTGTAGCTATTAAATAATGGAACAAGAAGCTGTTTTTAACTGGCTTCAAGGCACAGATAATGACATTTCAAGGTTGTAAATGCCCTCCACTACCACCGTGGAGAATTACGCTGAGGAAATTCCTTCTGGTATGTGTGTATGCAGCTACCCTGATAATACTGTGCATCTCTAGACCCGGAGCCTACTGATTCCCAGCCTGGTGGGGAGTTTGTGCTGTATTTTCCCATGACTGAAAGCATTGCTGGAAAATACGATGTTGGCTTCAGCAGAGAAAGCATTGACCAGATTGGCTCTAAAACTTTCCTTAAGGATTGTTTTGCCAGGGGATTGTCCTGATAACCATATTGCTGCAATAGTTTGCTGCATTATGTTGAAAACTTGGGGATGTATTAACAGCCTGGAAGGCAAAGTCCCAATAGAACTTAATAAGAACCTTGATTTCACTCGTGTAGCTATGCAGGAGGCAATCTAATTTTTCAAAATTATTTCCTTGCTTTCAGATTTTCATAATCATCAAATTATTTAATGTAAACTCGGGGTGCATGTATGTGTATGAATGCATGTACAAGATACACATGTGGCACTTTGGAAGAAAAGAATGAATGCCAACATTGTTAAATCCAAGAACGGTTTAAGTATTAATATTTCTCTTTGGCAAAGTAAATGCCTTACAGCTCCTTAAAATCATGCAAACTTTTGAGTATAATTTATGCATGCTAAGTTAGTTGCTACTTTGTGCTGTAATATCTGCTACTTTATTTAAGGGCAAAGAACTGAAGTTGGCTGAACACTGGATCAAAACCTTAGCTGCTAAGATACTTCCCTCTTTCCCCCTTCCATTCCTGATTAGACTCAGTCTTCTTTTGCCAGACAGCACTGGTGGATTTTTCTTGGGATTTTCATGAAAGCTAGAGGGACTGTATTAAAAATTCTGTTCTGTTTCCCCAGGGAGAGAAACTAATGTAAATGCAGATGACCATGCAGAATGCAGTTCAGGTAAATGGCTTTTGTAATGCTTGAATTCTGTATAATACCTTTTTTTAAAGGCAGAAATCTACCCTGAAGCAAATTAAATGCTAGAATCCCCAGAGTTATCTCTAGTTTAAAAAAATAATTTTCCTATTTTACAAATGGACCAATATTACAAAATAGATAACCCTGTGTTATATCAGATAGGTGATCCTTTCTCTTCCTAAGTGCTGTTACCTAAGAAGGTTTTGAAGTCAAAGGCTGAAATTATTTAAAAACTTGTTTGATGATTAAGAAGTGTTTTTTTAAAAAAAACTCCTATGTTCTGGTTAATCACTTGAATATAAATAAATGTATTTTATAAACACACACGCTTCCTGAACTGAAGGAAAGTAGTTAAGAATATCAGGACGACTCTTTCTCTTTGGGAGTTTTGTACATGAAATTTCAGTGTGTCCTCTTCTTGAAATGTAAAGGTACCTCTCAGTTTGGAAATACACAGTCCTTAAGAGAAATGCTAAGGATTGATGTTCAAGAAGTGTGTATGTTCTTGCATGGGAATATGTTTTCTCTTTTAACATCATCATTTTAATGATTTAACCACAAAATGCCTCTGAAATGTTTGATCAGAGAAGTCAGTAGTCTGTAGTAAATTATATGATAAATTGCAAATTTCATTACTTAAAACGTACTGAGGGAAAAAAAAAAAAACAACAAACCAAACCAATACAGATTTAATGCATGTTTTCTGTATTTAATATCTGGAAATGAGTTAATGAGACCTGCACTGTTCTTGATTACTGCTGTGTTGGATGGGTGTATCTGTCTGGAGGAGAATGAACCCTTATTAGTGAATAATAGATCTTTAGCATCATTCAGAACTGCAGTTTTCCAATATTTGACTGCAAAAATTCGAGCTCTCTGTCTCCAACTGACTGAAATATTCTGCAGGTGTGGTTTGGAGATGACCTCCCCTTAAGCCCCCGAAGTCCTTTGACTCCCAGGCATGGGCCAGGTTTGGCAGATGTGTGCCTGTATGACCAGTGGATATCCGTGCGGCATGAAGCAACTCTGGTGCCTATGCAAGAAGATCTGTCAATCTGGCTCTCAGGCTTGCTGGGTGAGCTTAAATATAAATCACTCTCTAATAAATTTCAAAGCACTTTCCAATATTCTAGTAAACACTGACACTTAATATCTGTGTTACTACTAAGATCTGGTATATTTGAGCCTGAATGGCTAGGACAGTTGCATTAAAATGCATGTTTTGGTTTCATATTTTATTAGCTGCCACCTCTTAGAAGGAGGATGATAATCCATTCTAATTTATATTTCTGAATCTTGTTAGTTTAATTAAAATCTAATTAAGTAGATGTTTTATTTTAGTTTACTTATGTGTTTCCACTAATTTTCAGTCCTTAACACTGGAATGCTTTGTGAATTGCCTCTGAGTTCATATGACATTTCTTTACCTTCGGTGGAGTAACTCTAAAATTGACCTTTTTTAGGAATAGACGTCACAGCAGAACAACTGCTGGAAGAACTTGATAATGGAGTGCTGCTCTGCCAATTGGTTGGTGTTCTCCAAAACACAATTAAAAAATGTAGCTCAAATAATTTAAGGGTGAGTCATATTGTGATTTTTTTTAATGCTTATATAAACTTTTATTGTAAGAAGTAGTAAAAGGAAAACACGTGAGTGAGGCTTCCCAAAGTGGTGTTAAATGTGTTGTTATAAATGTGTTGTTTATCCAGAGGCTGATTAGTGATAGCGTGGATTTATAGATGGATAAACTGGCCTCATGCAACAAATTACTTACTCGCTTTGTTAATCGACTTCTACGGTCCTTACCAGGTTTTTAGTTTGATTTCAGTAGAAATCTTGCCAGAGGGAGATTTATTCAGAGTCTAGAGTTTGGATGTTGTCCTGACAACAGCAGTGTGGATTGGTAACAAGGTAACCACTGATAATTAGTATTATGTTTCATGCCAGAAACAGGTGGCTAAACTCTGGTATATTGGTTAGCCATGAAAATATCTGTATTGAGATGTACCTGGAGATGAGTTTCAATTACCTTCTTTGGAACCAAGGCTGAGTTGAAACTTGAATTTCAAGCAACTTCCAGTCTGTGTTTGTACAGTGTAAAATATGGATCTGTCACTTTGGAGTATAAAGCCATGTAATGCTGGTGCAGGTAGCATATGCTTAACGTACAGGCACCCAGTATAGCTACAGCAATGCTTGGATTTGTCAAGTAGTAGATCACGAACTAAGTGCCCTGATTGGTAGTGTTTTCCTTGAAGGCAGGTGGAACTGTTTCACTATATCCAACCATTTTTTGTGTGTTTACCTTTTTCTGTTTTATCTAGCAAAATAGTAGTTTTGAATAACAGATGTTTACCAGTAAGTAATATAATTACTAATATTAGAATTATTATTAATTGGAGGGGGACAAGACAGCAGTCTTAGGATGCCAAATGGTATTTACATAAAAGCCAAAGGTATTTACATAAGAATGCTGCAAATCCTTAGGGTTTTTTTAAGAAGGACAAGATGCACAACTGTGTATCTTTGAGCTACACTTTTAATTTTGAAGATACCAGTTTTAGAACAAATGTGTATTGAATTGCCCCTTACTCCCTTCTGATTTCCTCTTTCTAGAACGGCTCTAAAATGTTGAAATCTGGCAGCTAAGTATAGTTTAGTGGATTGGGGTTCTCTCAGCTAATTCTGTTGCTATGAACAGAGCTTGGGAAGGGGGAATAATTATTTAGACTTGTAAAACCACCAGTGAGAATTCTAGCCCAACATATGGGGAAATGGGAGAGCAAATGTATGGGCCATGCTGGGAGAGGTTGCAGAGCTAAGGATTGTTCCCTCAGTGACTGTTCATGAAGACAAGGTGGAATGACTTCTACATCACTCTATTTTTTGTAATAGAGCACAGTGTGGGTTAAACACAGAATAGTTACTAACCACTCTTTCTGTACTCTGAATTTAGGGTTTATTTTCCTTTGCAAATGTGCTTTGAAATCAGTTGGCAATGTTGATGTGCACAATGTACTCTTTGTTTTCTTCCCTTGCCAGAATTTTCCTATGAAAAAAGTTCCATGTAAGAAGGATGCTCCACCAGGATCTTTTTTTGCCAGAGATAATACAGCCAACTTTCTTAACTGGTGTAGGGCCATTGGAGTTGATGAGACTTATCTCTTTGAATCTGAAGGTTTAGGTAAATCTATCTTTTTGTAAGACTTACTTTGATCTGTATGTGGATAACTACCAAGGCAGGGAAATCTCTTTCGTATAGTCTTGTGAAGCTTTTGATGCAACTGTACCTGTCTTGTGCAAGCCACTAATGCTTTTATTTATTTTAAGGCAGCGTTCATGTGAAAGCCTTGAAAAATCAGCTCAGTGACGGCTCTAACTTGCATGATGCTTTTCCAGCCTTCTATAAGTTGCTGTGTGGGAGGAAGGGGGGAGTGACAGCTGTGCAGCAAACTAGCATGTTTTCCTTCAGTAAAAAGGTCCACTGAGAAACAGAGGGGAAAAGTGTGGTTTTGCTTTCCCTGCATGGGAAGACCAAAGAGCCATGGAGTCAACTCACAATAAGATCCTTTATTTGGTCTTAGAGCTCATTCTTGTTGCAGAAAACCCTCAGAATAATGCATTCATGACTGCTAAATTTGGTAACTACATCAGGGCGTTGTGCCTGAAGTGGCAACAGTCTGTTGGTAATTAATATTTACTTCAGGAACTACTTGACATGACTCTAAACCATTTGTATTTTCCTATTTAATAAGATAGTTGTAAAAATAAATACTGCCAACTGTCTGTATGCCTGCCCTAGTGCACAGCCTGTCCATTATAACAAACAGCTTCTAGACTGAAACTTCCAGATGGAATGAAATTTTTTTGACTGCTAATTAAGAGGAACTGTGCTTTCATCACATGGTAAATAATGAAATGCTTTTCTACCAGCTATTATGTCAGTAAAAATTAATTAATACAAACCTTTTTGTGGCCAGCCAAATACTGTTGTTTTGGTTTTGTTTTTTGTTTGTTTGTTTGGATTTTTGTTGTGGTTTTTGTAGGTTAGTTAGTGTGGTGTTTGTGTTTTTTTTCTTTTTTTAAAAGGCAAAATATCTGCCTGTCAGCAGAATAGCAAAAAATTGCGAAGTACCTTTGTTTTCAGTAATCAAAGGAATTTGTCACAATCTTTACTAGATTTTCTTGATGTCTTTGTGCCATTTAATGCCATTTGTATGGGAGGCACTATTTTCATTAGCTGCTTTTCTTTAAGCTCTCCTCCCTAGTAGCTGGACTGCCTGTGCCTTCTCTACTGGATAAGTCATCTTTTAAAATAGTTAAGCAAGCATCCTCATTTGCATCTGTCTCATTCTGATTTAATTAGTGAGTGTGTATTATTTTCAGTGCCATGAAATACAGATGAAGAGAACTGAGCTATAAGAAAATGAGTTTAAATTTTTTTTTTAGTTCCACTTATATGAATTACATTGTTTAAACATTTTAGTTTCTGTTGAGTGGACGGGTAACTAGAACCTGTTTTGCCTCCCTGAGATAAGCAGACAGGATTTCCTAATGCTGTGGCTTTTGCTCATGGCCAAGACGTGTTTTGAAGCCTGTTTTTAACTCTTGACAGAAGCTTGCTTTATGGCATAAATATCTTCTGTGAGACTTTTTTGGCAGTCGAAATGAGCAGACTTGCAGCCTTCTTGATGAAACATTCTTTCCTCTGATGTTCTCTATCAAACTTTCAAGACATTCTTTATGAATGAAATGGAGAAAAGACAATTTGGCAATTGTCTTTTTCCCATCAGATACATATAGCAACACCTTCTGAGAAGTGTGGATTGCTGTGAAGGAAATAAATTAAGTGACTACTGAGACAGCAGAAAGGGAGAGTAGCAATCATGGGATGCCCTTTGACATCAAGACAAAACAAATGTCTTCATCTCTGCTAGAGATATATATTTGCATTTTTGCACATACTTGGATTTTTCTCTCCTGGATTCAGGCAAATCATATAACTTTTGTTATAGCTGGAAAAACATGAAAAAAACCCTGGGATTAAATGACCTCTAGTACCTTTTAGATTACAGCTATGTAAACTTTCTATTCTAGATTTACCTTTCATATTTAGATCTTTTAAAACGTACACTTACAAACTGAAGTATATGATGTAAACAGGATCTTCTGACTTCATACTCGGCTTATACTTTAGGAAACACTTCAGTCTTATTTAAAGCAAAGTAATTTTAAATATCAAGTTGAACATCAGAAAGATGTTAGATTTCATCTGTAATATAGAGCTGGTTCATTAGGTTTCTCTTCAGAGAATTTCCAGTTTCTACTGAGTATTATTACTGCACAGTCTGAAGAAATTCAGAATTGTCCATATAGACATTACACTATATGAAAACTATATCTACAGCTTTTCCTATTTCTTATACTTGGTGGTGAGGAAGAATGGTGCCATGTGTGTGGGTTGAGGGGAGCTGAATGACCTTTCTCCCAGCCTTTGGTTTCAAGTTATTAGGCGGCATTGCTAATTGGCTAAGAAAGCACAGAGATGGTCTATTCTCTAAAGCATTCATACAACTCTTCTTAGAAAATGCTGAAAGCATCTCAATTTTGAGGCTTGTATGTGGGCAGAGGAGGAAGTAGTTGGTTGTGTGTGAGATTTTAAAATATTTTCTTTCTATGTTCATGGCCTTGTTTCTTTTGCTTTTCCTTGCACACCTAAAGATAGGAGTTTCTAGAACCCAAAGCAGACATTGTTTTCGTTCTGCCTCTTCCATTCTTCAGTGCAGCAGTAGAAATGTTCAAATATTTTAAATTTGAAGTTGTCAAGAAAACTCAGAAGACCTGCCATGGTCATCTTCACACCGTCTGGCTATCACTCCACTCTTCCACCTCATTCTTCAGCTCTCCTGATTGTCATTTAGTGTGCCTACATGGTTATGTGCATGCAGCTGTCGGAGCTGCTCTGTGTTCAGCACTAACTGGGTTAATGTGGGCACAGTCTTGAGATGCAAAGCCCAGTGCAAAACTCTGCACTACTAACATATCTGAAATAGTGTTGATGCTTTTCTGTGATCCCAGCCAGTATCTGATGTTTGAATCTGAGTGTTTGTCTCTTGAATCAGTGTCATTCTCACCTTCTTACAGTCGGGAGCTTTGACTGTCCTTTTCAGATACAGCCTCACAAAAATACCAAATTCCGAAAAAAAACTCTGGGCAAATGAGGCAGGAGGTGGGGGCTGATAGGGAGGGGCGAAATGAGGGTAGAGCATGGGGTAAGGGAGCTGCCACTGGCAAAGTGGTATCTTCTAGTGGAACGGGGTGAATAGACAGACCCTGCAGGCATCCAGAACTTTCAAAAGTGATAAGAAAAAAGATCTCCTGCTTATTGAAATAGTAACAATCACCCAGATTATTCTTGCATAGCCAAGGGTTTAACCCACTTAGGCTGAATGGCTGCTTAGCCGTCTGCTTGTCAGCTGGGTCCTTTGCAGTGTAATCTCTGATGGCTGCTCACCTATAGAGTGTGTGTGGCTATCTGTGTCTGTATGCACAAGCATGAACAGATGGAGTATATTGTCCTGTTTGCAGTTGTTGAATGCTTTTCATCTTTAAGACTGCAATAATCTATTTGGGGATGGAGAAGGAAAAGCTCTCAGAGATCTTTCTTTCCATTTCACAATGAGAAGGACCAGCATAAAACCAAATAAGCATATTTCTCTTAGAAGGCAGAAAAGAGTTTGTTTTCAGGAGTGCCAAGATGGGTTTAAATGCTTTATGAAATAGATTATTAGAGTTGGAAAGCATATAGTGCATTATCCATGATAATGCAGCTTGCCTCTGGGTAGACTGATGGCAAAGTTATAGTCATCTATTCCTTCTCTTCTCTTCTCTGTGCCTAATCGCACAGGCCTCCTTATAGTAAATATGGGCTGTAACTGCCTTTTATTCTCTTCCTTTTTAGTTTTGCACAAGGATCCAAGACAAGTGTACCTTTGTCTGTTGGAAATTGGGCGCATTGTATCCAGGTATGTGATCTGTACCTGCTCCTAACAAGAATTGAAAAACACGTTCTATTAAGTGAAAGCTGAGACAAAGTTAGGAAGATCTGCTGTCATGAAGTGCAATACAATAGATATTAATTCTGTGCAGAAATTAATTAGTAGCTTTTCTAGGACTATTGTAGAGTATGAGTATTTTTTCAAATATTTATCAGACTCTCTTCATGGAAAGGTGCTGATCCACACTGCTTTTTATAGCTATGTGTTTAAATGCTACGTTTTGCTTATTATGCGTAAGTGTACATCTTGGAAGAACTCATTGAACATTAAATACAGTTTTAAGGTCTTTAGATTTTAAACTTTTTGGCAGGTATCTCTTTATCATTCTTTAAATTTAGACGTTTAATTTATTTCTAGTGCAGAGCTGCAAGCTTTAAGATAGTTTATCTGAATTGGATGTGACCTAAATTGTGTAGTTTTGACAGTATTTTTACTGCCTTCTCTGGTAGCTCAATGACCACCTTAGAGAGAGCTGTTACTAGAAACTCAGAGCTGCACCTTCTTTTTGGGTTATCAAGGCAGTCATTCCTTTGACTGATTTAGTGCTGTTCCTTTTCAGTCAAGCCACTCAGAATTTGCATGTTTGTTATGATCAGTTTTCCTAAGTAAATTAGTAATTAAACTCCTTACTTCTGCATTTGAGGTATGGAGTTGAACCTCCTGTACTAGTAAAACTGGAGAAGGAAATTGAGCTAGAAGAAACACTGCTGATGACTTCTGGACCACCATCACCTGTTAGCACAGAAAAGTCATGTTGTCACCATGGGGAGCTACATGAGGCAGTAAGTACTAGTTATTTATTGTGATATGGGCTTTAAATCAAACTCTTAAGTTTAGTACTTGTATGATCTGGCTGAGTAAGCACAGACTGTTTTTTATCTAATATTTGTGAGCCTCCTTAAAAAGAAAACAGAAGAGTATGCACCTCTTTTGAACAATTTTTCTTTTTTTTAATCTAAGCAAAATGCTGTCCTATATGTTTGACGCCAAAATGCATATAACTTGCCTTGATTCTGTCCCCCACCACTTCATTGCTTCTTTGAGTATAAGAAATAGTCTCATTCAGTTTTTCTGATCTGTTGAGAAAAGTTTCTATGACTGTAATATATGCTTCTCTTCAATTCGATGGTTTCATAAAACTCCATCAAATGTTAAAGTAGGCTTTGATGAAACTCTTCTGAAAAAGACTTTAAATAAAATCTCTGTAGATGTACCAGTTGGAAATAAGTTTATATGCAGAAAAGGAAATTATTTGTACATAGTATGAATTGTTCCAAAAGGAAGGATGAACAACTTTCCTATTTGGCTTAAAAATGCATTTTGGGACTGAAGTTAATTTATTTTAAAGGTCCTCTGTGTTGTTATGTAAGACTTTGCTTCTTTGGGAATGTCAGTCCCCTGATCCTCGCTCTCTCTTAAAACCCTCACTATTTTTCCTGCTTGGCAATAGTCTTAACCTTCTAATTTGTCAAGTTTCTAAGTGGCTGTAAGAGGCACATCTTGTCTAACGCTGGACTTATTTGGGGACTGCCTTTCTCTGTTTTCAGTGGTTTCCTTCTTGGGTGTCACATAGAAAATTAACTTATAAAAGCCTTACAGAAAGTTAGGGAGAAAGCTGAAGTAGCCCTGGGTCAGATGTAGTAATGGTTCTGGTCACAAGAGCGACCCAGGCACTTGTTTCAATTTCTAGAGACCATAACAATGTCTTTATAAGGTTGTGGTTGGGATTTGATGCTACTATACATAGTGTTATGGACAAATCTTAAAAGCAAAACTAGAAATAACTTAAAATTGAAGAAATAATGAAAATTGGATTGGAACATCTTGAATTTTTTGTCTGTACATACAATTTGTTCTTGCTTTTAATTTTTTATGCTATATTTTGAAGCTCTATGCAGCTGAGATTTTCTTGTGGGGGAATAGAATTCTAATGTTTTATTAGATTATGGGATGACGATATCAGTATCTTTTCTTGTATTAAATATCTCAATAAACCGTTAAACACATGCTTCTGTCAAAATACTAACAAACGCTTTTGATTTTAATAACTAGGTTAAACATATAGCAGAAGATCCTCCCTGCAGTTGTTCCCATCGATTTTCAATTGAATACTTATCAGAGGGACGTTATAGACTTGGAGATAAAATACTCTTCATACGAGTAAGTAGTTTCTAAGAAATCCAATTTATATTCATAATGGGGAGAGAAATGCTTTTAAGTGGAATACGTCATTTTTATAGTATTGTTTTAGAATTACAGAATGATTTAGGTTGGGACACCATATCACCCAATCCCTTTTTCAAAGTAGGTGTGGCTACTTAGATCTTACAACCATGGATTTTACAACCACACTAAGTTAGTTAATCCTTTTTGGTGGTTCTAAAATTTCAGTAACACCTTGCAATATAAATAAGGATAATGCTATAGACTATCCTGAGAACGCTGCGTGTTCAAAACCAGGACAGGACACTTGGAATTTATAATTTGCAGAATAGTTGAGCACTCTCTTCAGCAGGCGTCTGAGTTTGTGTTACAAGGACATCTATAATTTGAACAAAACCAGTATCCAAAACTCTATGTACTAATAAAGGTGCTGACAGAATGCTTAAAATGTCTTCTGTATGTATTCTTGCATTATTTCCCAATGCATAATGACAGTCTCTGCAGGAGAAACTATCTAATAAAAGAATTGGGAAGCATAAACTTTATTTATCACATAATTTCTCTTTTCAAAAAATCTTTCTCTGTAAGAAAGGAGGTCCTATTTTTTGTCAAGAAGACATAATGCTGCATAAAACAACATAGAAATTTCTCTTGTTTTTCTCCTGTCTCCACCCCTTCTTCCTTCATTCTCAGATGCTACATGGCAAGCATGTGATGGTACGTGTTGGTGGAGGCTGGGACACTCTTCAAGGTTTTCTGCTTAAATATGATCCATGCCGAGTGCTTCAGTTTGCAACTCTGGAACAAAAAATCCTGGCCTTTCAGAAAGGGGTCACCAGTGACAGTGTCTCCAACTCACCAGTGAGAATTCAGGAGCCTCCTGTTATGAATCCAATGACAGCTGTCAGTATGTTTCCAAAGCAGCCATCAAGACCACCTACTCCTCTTTCAGCTCTTGGGGCCAGTGCCAAGAAGACTTTATCTAAACGTCCCCAGTCCCCTGCCTTGGCATCACCAAAAGTGCCAGTGCCCCCATCCTCCACAGCCAAGTCGTCGACAGTCAGGTCCAAATTACAAGGGTGTTCGACAACAAGCATGCAGTCTCCTTTTAAACCCTTAGCTGGTACCTCAAAGAAACTTGAGTCTCCTGCGCACAACTCACCAGCTTCTGCTCCTTCACAGCCTGTAAACAAAAGCTCTTCATCTGCAGAAACAAGAACAGCTCTCGTTCACTCTGAAACATTGCGCAAACGTATTCGGTCCCCTGATGCTCCCAAGGTGAAGTTTGCCCTGTCTCAGGGCTCCTCAGCACCAGCACTGCATCCTGCCCCCTCGTCCTCTAAGAAGCAACCGTCTTGTTTGCCTGGGACAGCTGAAACGATGGCTTCAAAACAGAAACGTGTTCCTACTAAAGGTAAACCTGTGTCTGTCACTAAAACCAAAGCGAATTCAGTTGTTCTGAGGGCTGCTCGGCTGCCTGTTACAAATCTACGTGCTGTATCCAAATATGCACATTCTCAGCAGCTCCTCGTAAATCCTCCTTCTGAAAATGCTATTCAGACCTCAAGAACTGGGTCTCAGCGTCCTCAGAAAGCTCCACAAACAGCTTCTGATCTGGCAAGGAACCTGAAAAGTGCTTCAGTCCTAAAACACTCAGCTTCTGCACCTTCCCTTGCAGTTAGCAAAGCATCAAAGTCACCGCCTATGCTGGTATCTACAAGCAAAAATGTATCATCAGCTGCCAATAAGCAGCCAAATGTCAGTAAAATCCCTCAGGTTGGACCCACTTCATCCAAACCTCCTGAACGCACTCCCTTATCTGTTGTACGGCTTCCTCAAACTCCAGCCAAAGCGATAGGAACCAAAAAGCCAGTGCAGCCTTCCACAAAAGGTCAGCCTTCAGCCAAAAACTTGCAAGCAAATGAAAGCTTGGCCCCAACAGCCAAGAATCCTCTCCCCAAGGGAAAAACAGCAGCTACGTGTAACAAGGCAATGTCTGGTGTATCAAAGGGTCCTCTTGCGAAAAGCAGGCAAGATGATCACTATTTTGTTATGACAGGAAGTAAAAAACCCAGAAAGTAAACTTACTGTTATTTTCTGTGGAAGTTTTAATTTTGTTCAAATGTTCCTCTTGTATCTGCTACACTGAGGACAAGAAAAAAGTTAAATAACACTACATTTACCGTGAATATTAAGTATAACCTACATTATGCTGCATAACTTGCAGCAAGAATTGTATTTGTTTTGTGGTTTAGAAACGCCTATTTGGATATATTTAGAAGTGAGCTTGCTTGCTCTGTAGCACTGTGGAATAAAGTTTGCTGCTAGCCTGACCTGCTGCAGGGAAGGTAGGAGAGAGGAAAGGGGAGCTAGGGCTGCTGCTTTTGCTGCTGCTCATTTTCAAGGGAGTGAAGCCTGCCCAAGAAATATCTATGCAGGGCAGAACCTGGGTGATTTCAGCGGTTCTGACACATCCGCATCAAGGCGCGTGGCAAGCAATAGAGCTGCGCACAAACCGTAAGATTTCTAGTACCTCAAACAAAACTAGGTCCTAGAAATCAAATTTGGGTTATTAGAAAGAAATCTCTAGTCATGTTTAGATTTGACAGCTGCCATTATCAGTGTTCACTGTGCCCCCCATATGCCTTAAAGTGACTCCAGCTTGCTTGGAAGTGGAGCCTTCTTGGTTTGCGTTAAGTTGGACATGGAAAATCATGGCCTTGATCGCTTGCTCTCATTGTGCCTTAGCCTCTCAAATCCATGACAGATCTCTTCAGTGAGCAATGCTACTTTTAAAACCTTGGGCAGAAAACCTTACTTAGTTCATGTTCCAAACTGACTATAAGTAAGCCCTATCTTTTCTAGAAAGCTCTTGGCTGTATGAAGTGCCCCAGTTGCTGGGAGGATGCTTTGCCCTGGGATGGAGCCCCAAAGCAGCTCCTGTTCCAGTGATGCAGAGCTGCAAGTACTGACCTGCACTGGCAGAGGCTCACTGCTCTGCAGGAGTGGCCTTTACATCTTAAACTGAGTCACTAAATATTTCTCTCAGTGCTACAGATTAATTTTTGTGCACAGTCTTAGTCCGCAGTGGCCTTTTTTGTTTTATTTATGGAGACCTTCTTACTGGCTTTCCTGTATTAACTTTCTGGAGGTGAGAAGTAGTTTACCAAATAGGTAATGAGGGACTCCATTTGCCTTTAAACATCTGAAAGTGCCAGAAAACTATGCACTCTTTACATTCTCACCTCATGAAGGCTTTCAGTGGGTTAAACATCTGTGGTGCTTAACACCTTTACCCTTAACAGGAGTGAGTTTCATGGTAGATTAATAAAAACTACTGTCTTTGGAAGCAGCGTGGTTTGGGATATTTTGGGTTTAATGTATAGCTGTTCCTACAAACACTGAGGAGCTTTCAAGGTCTGTGAAGAGACACTGCTGACTTCCACAGAGGGTCACTTCTGCTCTCTATTCCCAGGATATTTACTTATGGGCAGGAGAAGAGATGCATGGAAACCACAGTTTCTGATGTTATATATTTAATAATTTTCTTTCCCCTGGAACTAGAATAATCAAGCATCACAAACTAATGAATTTTCATGTGCAGTGGCAAAGTCATTGAGCTGCCTTTCTGAGCACCTTGTTAGCTTTTTTATTTATGATTCTATTTATGCATATCTACTGTACAATTCTGCTTACAACCTGCTGGGAGTAAACAGTAAATACCAATATTCAAGCTGTAGGAGGAAATCAGATCGGTTTTAATAATGTAGATGCAAGTCCCACAAGCTCATAGAGGGACCTGTAAGTTTGGGGAAGGCCTTAGGATTACTACTGATAAATACACTGGTCAAAGCCACTACTGCAAATGTTAAGAACAGTATTGACTGTAGTGGACTTCTTTCAGGTTTGATAAATTTGGCACACAGTTTCCTATGCTGAAAGCATTTTACAGTATATTACTTGTTTTTTATTTCGGGCTTCCAAATAGTGAGCCATGATGTGATATATCTCATGCAGATTAATAGCTGAATTTTGGGGGGTTCTCTCTGTACTGTGTCTGGCTGAGATGGAGGTAACTTTCTTCATAGCAGCCCATACGGTGCTGTGTTTCAGATGTGTGACTAAAACAGTGTTGACAACACACCAATGTTTTGGCTGGTGCTGAACAGTCCTTGCACAGGGTCAAGGCTTTCTCTTTTTCCTGCTCTGACCCCACAGCAGGTAGGCTGAGGTGGGCAAGAGATTGTGAGGGACGTGGCTGGGACAGCAAACTCGAACTAGCCGAAGGGCTATCCCATATCGTATATCATCACCCTCAGCAATGCGAATGGGGTAGAGGAAGAAGGGGTGTGTGAGGACTTCCAAGCTGGCTGTTGTTTGAAGCCTGGCCGGGCATGGGTCTACCTGTGGGTGGTAGTGAGTGATTGCCTTTGCATCACTTGGTGGTTTGGGTTTTTTCCCTTCTTTGCTTCACTTACTAAACTGACTTTAGCTCAACCTGTGAGTTTTGCTTTTGCTGCTCTTCATCTCTCC